GACATGGATTTTTGTTAATATAGCTCAAGACTGAATGCAGTTTTTGGACTAAAACATGCAGGCATTTAGTGTGCACTGTTGACAGTTAAAACGTATTCTCTCTCTGCTTGAGTCCCTAAAGCTGAATGAGTCTAGCCCCTAACTGACCTGTGAGAGCAAGCGTCTAATCCCACTTGCTCTGTGCCAGGTGCTACTATAAGTCCTTCATAAATATGAATTTATCTAATCCTCACTGTAGCCCACAGAGGCAGGTAAAGAGTTAACGATCCCCTTTTTGGGAAACTCAGGAGCAGCGAGGTTAGCTAAGTTGCCCAGGGTCACACAGCTAAGTGGCATTGCCGAGACTGAACTTACCACTGGCTCCAGAATCCATACTTCCACTAAGCCACGATGCACACAACTTTGGTCGCTTGTGCAAGTGTGAGCAGGGAAGGAAGCACAAGAAAAGATGCTCCTTTACCAAGCCTAAAGAGAATCCCTCGATCTTCCCTATAGATCCCCTGTGGAGCTTCTCTAAGAAGTGAACATAGAGGAGGGGGTCTCCTGTCTATCAGGACCCCAAATTGGCGAGGGAAGAGCTAGTTCACAGCCTTCACAGACCCATTCCTGGAACACGCATCCACCCCAAAGGGCAGCGGCTGGGGCCAGCTGTTCCCTGCCCGGAAGAAAAGGATTTAGAAGAGGAAGGCTGGGTACAGGCTGTGCTAGCCCAAGCCATGCCAGCCCCAGAGGCCAGAGCAAAGTCAAAGCTGTGATGACAAGCCTGGGGTAGTGTCTCGCATGGTTTTAGTAGTTCTGTTCTCTTTTGTGAACTGCCCACCAATTATTTTCAGGAAACTTCTTAGAGTAAAGCACATGGTTTAGTAAACACATCGTTTTCCACAGTCTAGATATGCAGGTCACGCTGTCCACTGGAACCCACGGTGGCCAGCCGAAGGTGCCCATTAGCCTTGGGTTTGGAGCCCTGAGCCGGCCAGTTTCACTTAGTCCGATGTTGCACCAGCGCCCCCTATAGATTGCTGCTAGCGCCGCGCCCTCTAACCCACGTCTCCACTAACTGGCCTCAAACCCTCGCCCCACGCCCCCCGCCGCCCCCAAGAATCCAACAGAATCCAGTCAGGGAGCATCAAGCTGTCTGTCGGCCCACTTCCCTTTTCTGTAGAATTCCAGAAGTGGATTGTGAACCCATCAGGAAAATGAGTAGCGAGACCGTCCCGGAGGCTGCCTCCCCTCCGCCCTCCCAGGGGCAGCAGTACTTCGACCGCTTCTCTGAGGAGGACCCCGAATACATGCGTCTTCGCAACCGAGCCGCGGACCTGCGGCAGGACTTCAACCTGATGGAGCAGAAGAAACGTGTCACCATGATTCTGCAGAGCCCGGTGAGCGGGGTCTGGCCCAGGCGGGCGGGAGAGAAGGAAGGACTCCCCAGTGAGTGGAGGGCACTGTGTTCAGTCATCCAGTGAACCGAAAAGACAAATAACACCTCTTCCACTTGTCAGGATCTGGGGCAGTTTTTTTTTTTTTAAGGTTTATTTATTTATGCATACAGAACTGGGATACAGGCCAGAGGTGTGGTGAGTGAGAGGATTCACCAGAGACAGAGTGGGGAGCACGATAGGCAGATTGACAAAGTACACTGCTGAGGAGAGCAGCGGTCTGGTCAAGAGAGGTCTGCCGCGCCATGTGGGTCAGCTCCCTGGCTGGGCATGGAACTTGTGCTGCAGTGGGTTCTGAGAGCTTCATAGTGCGGAACTTTAACCCGAACTTTAATCCCTTGGGCCACCAGGGGGAGCCCTCTGGGGCAGTTTATCTGTTAACTTATTTAAAACCTGATAAGCAAGATGGGTCTGGCAAGGAGGGCATTTGATTCTCTCCCTGGCCACAAGAATTTGGCACAACCTGGTTTTTTTGGCGGTTTGGCTGGAGGATGTGAAGAGGCAGAAGCAGAAGCCCCACCTCAGTTTCCTGTACTTCAAGCTCTGGCTCCCAGTCTTCCCTTCTCACCAAAAGCTGACAGTGGACAATGGGACAAATTCTTGTAAAGCCGAGGCCAGCGTCAGGCGCCACGTGGGAATTTTGCAGCTTTTTCTGTAAACCATGCACTGTTAGGAGCAAATAGTCTTTGTCCTCCATAGGGCAGGGGTGAAGAGGGTCTGGAAGCCCTAGGAAGTGGAGGGTGGGAGGGGTCAGAGGGCTGTGGGGCAGGAAAGGGGGTCAGGTCATCTTTATCAGCACCATGGCTCTGACTGGAGCTCAGTTAATGCCCGCCTGACAGATGCAGAGCTTGTCCTTGAGGGGGCGGCCATTGAGAAGAACTGAGGTAGACCTGATGGCCCACTGATGTCAGTGAGGGGGTGTGATGTGGGTCTGAGAGGGGGTGCTGGGAGGACAGTGTGGAAGGTGGCAAGGAGGACCTGAAGGCAGTACAGCTTGGAGGTCCTCAGGAAACAGTGAATGACCCCAGGGGTTGGGGCGCCCAGGGATGGAGCTGACGTCACCAGGTGCTCACAGGATGGGCTCAGGGGTTCTTGGGGGTTCCACTTGGTGAAAGCATGTGTGAGTGCTTGGGCCTCACAGAGGAGCACTGCTGGGAGGGACGGGAGGGACTGGTAACTGCGAGCTGTGCTGAGGAGCCTGGAGGAAGATGGCTGGACCTAAAAGCACAGGGACAATGGAAAAGCCCTAGAGAGACGAGGCTGAATGACAGGCATGTCAGGAGAAGGGGCAGAGTCCGCAGGAACCTGTTTCAGGGCCTGGACAGGTACTCAGTTCTCTGGCAGGAGATGGGGTGGGGGGAGGTTGTACTTCTGTCCTTCTCTAGCTTCACCAGCACCTAGGGGCTCCCGTTTCCTCCTGTGTTTCCTGATGCCACCTAGTGGGCAGTTTTGTATATAGTGGCCGGTAGTTTGAACGGCCAGGCTTAGTATACTGTAGGGTATCTTAAGTGGAAATGACCTCAGATGTCACCAAATCCTCTGTTCAAGAGGAAACCGAAGCCCAGAAGAGCCAGAGACATGGCTAATGAGTAAGGTGGACGGCACTTTCTCATTTGATTCTTTCTTTTGTGAAATGTCTCTTAAACTAAAATCCCACTGTGTCTGATGGGGAGAACGGCCTTAGCTAGGATTTAAACACAGGAATCTGAATTCTGCCCACAGGGCAAACGGGACAGGGACCATTCCCAGCATCCCCTTGCTGATCCCCACACAGCAGTTTGGGGAGGCGCTGCGGGCCCAGTGTCCTCTGGGGCTCAGGGAACCCAACTGTGGCATGGTCTAGGTAACACTTAGGCGGGGCTTGGGTGGGCACTTAGAAGAGCTCATCATTGCAGCTGGGGTAGCGGGGTTCTCCCACATGAGATGCATTCTGGGGACCAGCACCTTCTTGGGGGTCTGCTTCAGTCTTTCAGGGAGGAGCTGGAAGGCCTCATCCAGGAGCAGATGAAGAAGGGGAACAACTCCTCCAACATCTGGGCCCTGCGGCAGATCGCGGACTTCATGGCCAGCACCTCCCATGCAGTCTTCCCAACTTCTTCCATGAGTACGTGGGGAGCTGGGGAGCTGCCAGGAATAAGTGGGGTGGGCCGAGGAAGGAGCAGCTTGGTTGCCAGGTTATGAATCAGTGATGCAGTGCATTAGCAGCCCTGGGGGAGCTGAGCAGCAGCCAGAGAGGTCTTTGGCTCTGCTTTGGATGCTGCTGCATTTAAAGAGCCCCCAGGAGATGTATTCCTGATGTTCAGAAATGCGGGAGACGCGGGAGTGGTGGTGCCGATGACTTAAAGGAGAACTTGGTTCTGGTTCTGCTGGGGGGGTTGGTGGCAGGATACTACTATGTGTCACTTCTGAGAGAGGCAGGACATTTCATGCATGATCCCTGCCCTCATAAATGGATTGGCATCGATTTTTTTTTCCAGTTCAGAATATTTTTCTATTATATGAACACTGATGATAGATGTGTGCTCTCTGGTTCTCTATTATATTCTCTCATCATTTTCATGTCTCTGTCCTTATACTCTTCCTTTTGAGAGAAATAGGGCTTGTCACCAGGAAGACAGTGGGATGCCGGGCACTGTGTTTAGTGAACATGCAGGGAACGTGGGGAGGGAAGTTCCAAGTGTCACAAGTTCAAGCCCGAGTAGGTATTCTTTGTTCAGCTCCATTTGCCTTGAATTTTATTTATTTATTTATTCATTTATTCATTTATTTTTTCACAGAAGTAACATTGGTTTATAACATTGCATAGGCTTTGAGCCTTGAAATTCTTGGTTATTATTATTGTTTTTTCAATAGTGAGGCTTTCAATCTTAGCCTTCAGGGGTTTGATGAGTATTCATCATTTTCTGTTGTTTTTTTTTTAGGTACCTTGAATAAATAGTTCAGTTTGATCTGAGTCATAACCTGCCACTCAGCTCTCCTGGCTTTTGTGAGGCTGGTTGGAATGAACATTCTTTATATCACGAGTTGTGGAGATGCTGGTTTTCTTCTCCCACCCATGGGCCTGTGGGTGGGGTAAGCCCACAACCTAGCTCCATGGAGCTGGGATGGAGACTTTCAGACCCAGCACATGAACAACGTGATAAAGTGCGTTTTCAGAGCTGTTCTGGCCGCCGGCCTGCTGCCCGGGGACTTTGTGACTCACTGAGGTTTGAAGACCCTCCCAGAGGCAATACACCTGCATGACCTGCCTGCTGGCCTTATACCTTTGATATGCTCTCTTCTCCCTGCCAGGGATGAAGCTGAGAGGGAATTGGTTAAAGAACTTTAAAATTAAAAAAAAAAAGTTTTATTGATTTGCCATGAGTTTATATAACTCTACCATCTGGGAGTACAGTGTCATCCCTGCCGTGAACATGTGTTTCCTGTGCCCTCCCCCGAAGCTCCAGTGCCCAGCCCTGTCTTCCCCCCTCTCTCCTCTACCTCACTCCCTCCGGTAACGTACAGGCAAAGAATTACTCTTGTTTTGCCAGTTTGTTCTCTTTAGTTATTTATGTCCCATGAAAGAATGAGACCATTTGGTAAATGTCATTCATTTTCTGACTTATTTCACGTAACATTATCAGCTCAAGATCCACCCATTGTCCCAAAGACACTATTTCATCTCTTTTAAATTGCTGAATTTTACTCTATTGAGTATATATTCCACAATTTCTCTGCCAATCATCTGTTGAAGCACATTTGGGTTGGCTCCTTGTCTGGGTGATTGTGAGTAATGCTGCTATGAAACCTAGAAGCACATAAATATTTTCGTATTAAAGTTTTCATATTCTTTGGGTAAATACCTGGCAGTGTGATTTCTGGATCACATGGTTTTTCCATCTTGATTTGTTTGCGGAATCTTCATGCCGTTTTCCAGAGAGGCCACACCAGTTACATTCCCACCAACCGTGGATGCGTGTCTCTTTTTCCACACACGTGACAGCATTTTTGTTTCCAGTCTTTTTGATATAGATCCTTTCTCATGTGGGTGAGGTGAATCTCACTGTAGTTTCGATGGCATTTCCAAGAGGTAATTTCTTGTCTGGTGGAACTCAGAGGAAGGAGGCCTGGTAGACTAGTCGCTTTGAATTAGAAATCCTCAGCTTTGGAATTTTGTTGTTCTTGTTGGTTCAGCTAAAATCTTTCATCTCTTCTGTCTCTTTCAGCTACGTTTACTGACACATTCCCTGGAGATGTGTTACCCCTGATGTGCACAGGCCTTTGGGGTCATTTTCCTGACATGGGGTATTTGAAGCTTGCTCTGCTTGCTTTGTGGCCCAACAACTCCCAGTCCCCCCTCATGCTTCCTTTTTAAGATTTATTTTATTTATTTATGCATATAAGATCTGGAATAGAGGCCATAGGTGCAAGGGTTGAGAGAATTCCATAGAGACAGAGTGGGGAGCAGAACAGGAGGATTGACTGAAATATACTGCTGAGGGGAGCAGTGGGTGAGACAAGAGCGGTCTGCTGTGCCATGTGGGTCACCTCCCTGGCCGGGGGGTCAAACTCAGCTGCAGTGGCTACTGATAGCTTCATAGTGCTGAGACTTAACCCCTTGAGCCACCAGGGGGCTCCCCCCTCACTTTTGAGACTATCTCGTCATTTCAATTAACAGCATACTTGTTACGTATTGCATAGCAGTGAAGTTTATAGAGATGGTAGAAGCTTTTAGAGAGCATTTCAATCTATTTAAGTTTTTAGTGGGATTCTGGGAAAGGCAACATCAGGAGGTTCCCAACCAGAAAGCATTTAAGACAGGGGCTTCTCCTGTGACTGGTTCCTAGACACTGACTCAGATGCCCCCTTCTGCCTCCCTGGGGCGAAGCATGCAGGCAACAATGGTCATCATGGTTGATGGGACAGGCTGGATGTGATCTTCTAGATCCTTTGAGTGCCTTGAGGACAAGATTAAAAACTCTTTAGAACCATTTGCAAATCACTCCCACATCCTCCAGAACTCTCAGAAAGAACCATAAATAATGGGTCCTGCATATCTGGTGTGGGGGCCCTGGAGCCCCCCTGAGGCCTCAAGTTGAAGAATTTACTTTCTACCTGACTTGGTTCTCTATTTGCCTCATTTCCAAATGAGAAAAAAAGTTATATGGTATAGTTAAAACAATATAATAACGGATCTAATTATTAGTAACATTTTCGCTAAAATGAGCTCACGAAATATACCCATATTCCCACTCAAACTTATTCTTGCTTTAATTCTATGTCTGCCTTTAAGATTTATGGTAAACTTGGCATTCTGAGAAACTTTCATTCTGTGGCCTTGCATCTTGCCATGATTTTTGGCCTCAAACAATGCCATCCTGCCTCTTTAAGCAAAGGACTTTATTGGGCAAAACTATTCATTACATGGGTTTTGCCCTGGGTAAGGGTCAAAAGATGTTTTAACTCCCTTCCTATGGATGGTATGTATGTAGTTGTAGTGACAGTAAGTTTTGAAGAGGTGGGCAGGGTGGGCGGGCCTGGGGAGGCCCAGCCTCTGAGAGCTGCCTTGTCCCCACAGCCTTCTCCATGATGACACCCATCAACGACCTCCACACAGCCGACTCCTTGAACCTAGCCAAGGGGGAGCGACTCATGCGGTGCAAGATCAGCAGTGTCTACCGACTCCTGGACCTTTATGGCTGGGCACAGCTGAGTGACACCTATGTCACGGTGAGGAGAGCATACTGGAGTCAGGTGGGGTACTGTATAAAGCCCCCACAAACTCCAGCGAGAGAATTTCTGACTCTTGGCATGGTCATAGATCTTCTGCAGCCTTCAGATAGAATGCACGGAGTCCTTCTGAGGCCTCTAACAACTGTGGTCACCTGAAATAGCTAGCCTGCCCAAAGGGCACTTCTTTGGGTAAGGAAATGGGACCACCTAGATCATATTTCTAAGGGTACCTTTGACATTGGGAAATTCCTCTTTGTAGCTCCATGCCCAGCTCCAAATAAAGGTCAAGTCATGTTCATCTCTCATGGAGGGGGGTGAGGGCTGGAAGGAGAGGATGAGATAAGGGCTCTTAGGAGGAAGATCTAGGTGCAGTAGTTTCAGGTGAAGAAGGGACTCAAGCAAAGTGTACTCGGAAATGACCTCTCTCCCCCCTTGTCACTGAGAATGTGTGTCTTCTCTAGCTGAGAGTCAGCAAGGAGCAGGACCACTTCCTGATTAGTCCAAAGGGAGTTTCTTGCAGTGAAGTCACAGCATCCAGCTTGGTGAGTATAGTCCAGTGTCTCAATGCCTGCTCCTTATAGAAGTGACAGCACCCCTTCTGCTCAATTTGAGATATGTTACCACCAATTAACCATTGCTGTCCTGTCCCCTGTGAAGCTTACAACTTGATGGGGCAGAGAAGACAATGGGTACCAAAATCCACCGAATGCCTAGAGCATGATATGAACAGGAGACCAAGTGTGTGGTACAGGCAGAAAGCACAATAGGAACGAGGAAGAAGGAGAGATGGGCCTGGAGTCCTCAGAGCCTGTGATTATACCACAAAGTCTAGGAATAGGGAGGCCTTCCAAAAAGGGGAATATATTAGAATAACAGCCAAGCCCTGCTCCAAAGCAATGCATGATTTATATTGTTCTGGTACAATTAGAGCCTAGCTTCTGGGACCCCTTTCTCCCTTTCCTCTTAGAAAGAAACTTTCAGAAGTTAATTTCAGTCAGGAAAGATTTCTAAGTGAGAGGAGGAAAGCAGTAGAGAGGTTATCTTAGAAGTTCTTTCTAAGAATTTTGGGCAGAAGAAACCCAAAGGTATGGAATATGGCTGCCGTGCTGTACCTGTGAGAGAACAGGTTTCAGACACTGTTGAATCCAGTTGTTAAGTTAAAAGAACAAACTGATTGTGAAAAATCTAGACACTGAAAACTTTAGGACACTGTTAAAATACAAAGAACAAGACATAAAACAACCCATGAAAAAATAAGATAACCAATGTTCATGGATAAGGAGAATTCATATAGTTAAAATGACTATTCTACCAAAGGCAATATATAGACAATGCAATCCTTATCGAAATACCAATAACATTTTTCAAAGAAGCAGAACAAACATTACTAAAATTTATATGAAACCACAAAAGACACTGAATAGCTAAAGCAATTAAGAAAAGAAAGAATAAAAATGAAGGCATCATGTTACCTGATTTTAAACTATATTTTAAAGCAACAATGATTAATACAGTATGGTATTAGAATAAAATAGACACAGAGTTCAATGGAATAAAATTTAGATCCCATAAATACATTAGCCCGTAAATCCATTCATACATTTACACCTAATTTATGACATGGGAACCACAACCATACAATGGAGGAAGGGAAAAAACCTCTTCAATGAATGTGTAAGGAAAACTGGACAGTCACATGTAAAAACACACCTGGATCACTCTCTAATCCCATGTGCAAAAATGACTTTGAAATGAATTAAAGATTTGGATGTAAAGACTTAAACCTCAAATCTGTGTATAAAATACATAGAAGAAAACAGGTAAAACTTGTCATGACACGTTTTACCTATGTTTTCTTCTATGTATTTTATACACAGATTTGACGTCTATGATAGGCATGTCTATGATAGGCATGTCTTTAGGTACTCAACCCCAAAGACAAAGAAAATAAAAGCAAAAAAGAAACAATTGTGACTACATCAAATTGAAGAGCCTTTGCAGAGTGAAAGAAACCTCAGATTAAACAGATTACCTAAGGTGGAGAAAATATTTGCACATTACACATCTGATAATAAATATCCAATTTTACAACAAAAACACAAGCCAAATGAGCCTGTCTCATGTATTTGGTGTCTAGAGGTAAGTTAAGCTGAGAGAGACCAGATGAAGGTCTAAAGTCTCTCTTGTTCCCTGGCTCAGGTCAAGGTCAATATCCTGGGAGAGGTGGTGGAGAAGGGCAGCAGCTGCTTCCCAGTGGACACCACGGGCTTCTGTCTGCACTCGGCCATCTACGCAGCCCGGCCCGATGTGCGCTGCATCATCCACCTGCACACGCCAGCCACGGCAGCGGTGAGTGCTTGCTCCTCAGCCACACTCAGCTCCTGAGGCTGGCACAGCTTAGCTAGTAACAATCTCATCATTGAAAACAGTTCTGGAAAGATTTCCTAGACTACACTTCAAGGTAAGAAGAGGGAACACCCAATGCGGGAGCCTCATCCTCTCAACTTTCTAACTACATATGTACTGGCTTGGGGACATAAGGTAAAAACATGTCCTGTCTGGCTCTCCATGTCCCCCCACCCTGTATCAGATACAGGGGTCACTTACCAGGTAACAGCTCCTCCTCAGCTGCTACTCAGGCCAGTCCTGCTAGACAGCACTAGCCCTCCCCACTCAGCCCAGGCTCATGCAGAGGAGATGGTAGAAGCAAGGTGTGTACTCTCCTGTCACAACCCATGTGCCTGAGGGCTGGGGACAGGAGCATGGAAAACCGGGGGAGAGTAGAAGGAAGACCCTCAGGACTCGGGTGTTCCGCAGGCCTCAGGAAACTTCTCGATGAGGATCTAAGGAACTTGGAAAGACAGCAGACCACCAGTTCAGGCCTTACAGACCCCCTCTTACAGATCCCCGCAGGGGGACCCTGGGCCCAGCTTCCCCGCAGCCTGTGCCAATTCCACTGGCCTTTTTTGTAAGGACAAGAGTCAGTCACAAGAGCAGCAGTGGCTCTCTGAAGTGGCTCACAGCAGTTCCAGATGCTACTGACATGGCTGCTGTGAGAAATGGGGTGGAAAGACACTAAAGGAAGCAGCAAGGAAGCAAGATCTGAGCCAGGTGGAGGAGAAGAAGGACATTGCCTTTCCTGTGGGCTTGTTCCCCCTCACTTGCTGTGTCCCTGAGCAGAACATCACGGGGCTGCTCTGGGCAAAAGGCGAAGGTGACAGAGAGGTTGGGAGAGCTGGAGGACTAACCACTCTTCATCTCATTGAAGGTGTCGGCTATGAAGTGGGGCCTCCTGCCTGTCTCCCACAATGCCCTGCTGGTGGGGGACATGGCCTATTATGACTTCAATGGTGAGATGGAGCAGGAAGCAGATCGGATCAACCTGCAGAAGTGCCTTGGACCCACCTGCAAGGTCTGGCTTAGCTATTCTGAGGTGTTCTGGGTTGGGACTCTCAGAACAATGATGTGTTCATTGGCTAATGTGCAGAAGTTACAAATAAACAAGCAAAAAGAGAAATAAAAATCTATCATGCTACCCTGAGGTTTAGGTGTGTAGCCCAAATGTATTTTTTTGTGTTTACAAACTGGGATCATAAAATAGATATTTATGTCCCTTAACATATTTGTATGTTACAGTAAATATTTCTACATCACTATTTAAAATCACACCTCATTTTGTGAATGTTTATTGCCACCATTAAATAGTCCCCTTTGGTTAGACAATAGAAGGGTTTTTTTCCCTTTAATTTTCTCTTGATGTAAACAACACTGCAATGAAAATTGTTTCACCAAATCTTGTAGTTTCCTTAGGTCAATACCTAAAGATGCATGTTTAAAAATTGCAACTTCATATTGCCAAATTGTTCCCCCCATAAAAATATGTGAGAATGCTGTTTCTCTGCAGTCTCCCCTAATTTCTGTTTTTTTTTTTTTTTTTTCTGTCTTAATGGAGAAAACACAATGTCAGATGTGCTTGGTTTGAAGACCTGTTTTCTAACAGCACGTAGTTAGGGGTGGCCAGCCCAGTGTGAGAAGGTTTGGAGTCAAGCCTAGGATAATGGGAACTTGCTCCTTGAAAATCCTTGTCCTTGAAAGGCACTCGCAGTCTGAGTCATTTCTCTTCCGAGTCCCATCATCCCATCTCTAACAGAGAAATCCCTGCAGCCTCTCCTGACATTCTCCAGGGCATCAAAGGCAGCAGGGGGAGGACTGAGATGTTCACATTTATGAACTGCTGCAGGAATTAGAGAGATGGGGGCATTTGTTATCTGCAAAATCGTGGGCTTATCACCCAATTCATCATCTCTTTCCATTTCTTTGGCACTTGAGAGGAAAACATTCCAACTGTTTTCAGCAAGAGATGTGATGGTTAGGCCAGTAGGCTTCAGCCTGGGTCTCACAAGGACAGATCCAACACGGAGGTTGTGTCCCAGCCCCCAGGCAGAAGTCACCTGGCTTCAGAGAGTTCTTGAGGTCAAACACCAACTGAGAAGAGTTTCTGGCAGGGAATGCCCACCTGGACCTTGGGGAATCAGGCTCTTGATAGCAGTGACTTCCAGTTTCCCTTTATCTGCCTCCCCTGGCTGAGTCAGATACATGGCCCCAGCAGTGAGAACACTGGTCCTAGTTCTCACTCTGCCTCTTGTTAGCTGGGAGACTTGCAATTCCTTGAGACTTCTAAAACCAGTGAGTTGGGTTAGACGGTCACTGTGGCTGCTTCCACAGAATGGTGGGGTCTCCCACGGCCACCCCGAGTTAATGGGGAGGAAACAAGGCCTGTGAGGATGAGACTCACCTGTTTCTGCAGAGCCCCCTCTCAGAAGAGCCCCAGCCTGCGGGGGACCTTGACCAGCAAGGCCGGAGATTCGGGGCCCCAGGTCCGGCGAACAAAGGAAGCAGTCACATGCATGTAGCAGAACAAAGAAAGAGCTCTTTATTGGGTTTTATCTTAGCTTTATACAGGAGGAGAGGGATGCCAGGAAGGGAGAAGGCCAATAGAAATGCAACATGTTTTGGTGGCAGTTGGTCTCACGAGGGGCGAAAGTGGGCGAGAAAAGAAAGAGGAAAAGGAAAAGGTGGGGGCAGGGAGCTCCTCCCACATGCCTTTTGCAACCCGGATGTTTTTCTCTATCCGGATGTTTTTCTCTATCCGGACTCCATTTCACCTTTTTATGGCTGCTGACAGACGCCAGATGCCGGCCTCGGTCCCCAACACTAGCCAAGTCAGCTGAATCACTAGGGGCACAGGGCTGCTTTTGAAGTCCAGTCCACAAATTGAACATCAAACACAGCTGTTAGATGCCTGAGCTTTCTGAGGCTGAACCCTGGCGTTGCTGAAGAAATCTACCAAGGCTCATTACTCAAAGTTACCTTTTGGGCCCTCCCTGGTGGCAAGTGGGTTAAAGTCCAGCACTATGAAGCTATCATAGCCACTGCAGCGCAAGTTTAATCCTCGGCCAGGGAGGTGACCCACATGGCCAAGCAGACCTCTTCTGACCCGCCCGCTGCTTCCCTCAGCAGTGTATTTCGTCAGTCTGCCTGTTCTGCTCCCCACTCTGTCTCTGGTGAATCCTTTTCTCTCCTGTACCTCTTCTGTATGCATAAGTAAATAAATTTGTAAAAAAAAAAAAAGGAAAAAATTACTTTTTGAGGGAGGCCTCTGCCTTAGAGTGTCTTAGAGTGAATGTTTGTCTTAGAGTGAACGTTTGGGGTAACATTATGGTAGGTATAGAGGAGAATGAAAAAGATGAGGGAGGGACTCTATGGAGGTGGAGCTGCATGAAAAATCTCTCCCTCTTAATGAAGGTGTAGAAGACTTGAGGTTTTAATTGGCTGTTTACTCCCCTACAGATCCTGGTGCTAAGAAACCACGGAGTGGTTGCTCTGGGTGACACTGTCGAGGAGGCGTTTTATAAGGTCTTCCACCTGCAGGCTGCGTGTGAGGTGCAGGTGAGCATGTCCCTTTGGGGAGGGGCCAGGATGGCCTCTGACAGGCCTGCAGCAAAGGCGGAGCCCCCAGCGGGGGTGATTTAGGGCTTCCTTTGAGCCTAGCCTTACTTCTCTGCTATGGCACTCCCTTATCCTTCTAAAATTTTACATGTACAATTAGTTTGGTAGTTTTAAAAAAATGCATCACCTTGTCTAGCAACTCTTGGGTGTCTGAGCCCTGGGCGGAGAGCTGCCTGGGCTCACCTCTTGGACAATGGGGCATATAAAAGCCCTTCCTGCTCTGTGTTACCTGTGTATCTAGCTGTGCCCCACAGATACCACACAGGTAGGTAGCTTCTCTCTCTCTGTTCCTCTTTCCCTTGCTCCCTTCATCCCCTCTTCCTTTCTTTCTCTATCGCGTGTAGAGGCTGTGTGCCTTTGGCTAGGAGGCCCATTCTCCACTCCCGCAACCAACTGCAGGTGTGGAGTCCTTGTGAGCTCAGGACCTTTCAGATAGGGACAGGTGTTGCTGATGGTATTTTTAGGACCCCACAGCGAGAAGTGGGCTTTACAATAAGGGCTTTACAATATTAGCTGAAATAATCCACCCTGCTCCAGGGTGAGTCAGGTCTGTGCAGGGCCCATCCCTCATCCAGCCTGCCCTCTCCTGGCTGGCTGGGGCAAAACAGTACCCAAGAACTGACTTTGTCATGAGAGTTGTGGGGAGCTGCTGGCTTATCCCAGAAGCATCACTAGTGGACTTCCACAGGTGGTACCTTTTTCAGTAGTTTAAAGGACTATGTTGAGAGGACTGTTGTCAAGACATTATGAAGAGTGGCCAGAGTGGGGGAACACGGACAATGAGGAACACGGACAGGGCTTTTCTGTTGTGGAGTTTTTTCCCTACAGCCCCCAACCAGAGATGCTGACCCCTGCGTGATGTTAGAACTGGACAGGGCCCCCCTGAAAAACCCACATTTCCTTCATTTGAACTCTTAGTAATTTTCCATCCTCCTTCTGAAGAAGAGGTGTCCAAGAGAAAATAGCTTATGAAAAATCTATGTCTTTGCAAATGCAGACCGGCCCTAAAAATGAAAGGTGAGAAGAGCACTCCTCGCCTAGGCTCCAGACCCCTAGAAATGGCCACTGTGCAATTTAACCAAAGACAGGCTAGCTGTCTCACAACTGGGGGGCGATGACTGGGCCAAGCTGCCAGACACACACTCAGCCCCTGACGCTTCCCTTTGCCCTGCTATCGCCTTCTTATAGTCAAAATTGGCGTGAGGTGACCCTGTTAAAGTGTACCAGGCAATGGAGGCAGACATTGCCCAGAAAGTCCCAGGGCTATTTTCAGTGGGTGGAGCAGGGAAGCTTCTAGAAGGAGGAATGAAGCTGGAAGGTATGGAAGAAAACCAGGAAGGGTTAGACTGAAGATGTGCCGCATCCAGGTGCCACAGAGGCTGCTGGGGTTGCAGTCAGTCCCCGCCAGGCCATTCCCAGTCAGATGGCCAGCACCGAAGCTCTGTTTCCATCACAGGCCTAATTTTCTCCCTCCATGAACTTGGCAAACAGGCAAATGTGGCTGTGGTCATTTTAGTGGTTCAAGGCTAAGAGCCTATTCTGTTCTCCTGGGGACAGTGTTCTTTTTGCTCCCCATCAGTTTGGGGTTCCAGGAAACTGGGTCATCCCCAGCTGAGAGAGGCAGCTCCCTGCTCTGCTTATAGGCAGATGGAAAGAAGTTGAGACAATTCTCCATCTGCTACCCATCACCATGGAAACTGATGGGGGAAGAGGCAGGTGGGAGGAGGCAGCTCTTGCAAGAATGTGGGCAGGTTTCTCCTCATCTGTGAATGATGGAAACATTGCTTCTCAGTCTTTCATGATAAAATATCTGGACTTATTTTATCATAAATGTTTATATGACATTCTTTATGCAACAGGTGTTATTCTAAGGGCTTTACAATATTAGCTGAAATAATCCACCAGAGGTGGGCACAACTGTTTTTATTTTACAGGTGAGTAAACTTAGGCACAGAGTATAATTACTCACCAAAAGCTAAACAGTGAGTAAGTGGCAAAGCCAGGGTTTGGATTCAGGCAGCCTGGGCCTGAGTGTGCCCTTAAATATTCCCAAGCCCTGTCTCTCTGGGATTGACAGGGGCTGCTGCGAAAGCTGACTGACAGACCAAGACCTCCCCTCAGGGAACCAAGGGGGCTTTCTAATCAGGGCTTCAGGATGCCAGGAGGGGAGTCCTGTCTTGGCCAGGTAGAGGCCCAGCAGGGCTTCCTGAGCCCTGAAAGTATCTTCTTATACCAGCCTCGGTGGAGCTGTGAGGAACTTTAGAACAGGAAAGCACTCAGCAGGAGGCGGGACTTGGACAGTTGAAAGGTAGATCTCAACATATTGTAATATTTAGCGACTCTCAGTAACTCTGCCATCATGGACAACAGTATAGTAGGCTACGTCCCCAAACTTTTAGAGCATTGGATAATGACTCTTACTTTTGATGGAAAGATGGAATAAATGAACTTCAAGGTCTTTGCCCAGGCACGGAGTCAACATTTTAAGATAAAAATGGAGCCTTCCAGTTGAGACATCTTAGATGAAGCGGGAGCGGAAAATGAATATGCTGCTCCCTTTCCCTTCCAGTGTGAAGGGGGTCACCTTGGGAAGGTAGCCTGACTAACCTCCAGAAGTCTCATTAGGGCCCTTTGGCATTCTGGTAAATTTAGCACATTCTGGGGTCTGTCCCAGGTCTTCATGAGATCTGTGCTTTTCAGCAAATTGATTTGGGTCCTTTTGTTTGTTTGTTTTAAAAAATAGCTATCACAAAAACAGTAATACTGAAAGTTTATATAGTCAGAACAGTTTCTGAAAACCAGCAGGCTTATGTGGGAGATTAAATACTAGCCAGGACACTGGGCTCATGGCTTACTGTATATGGAAACCTCCATCTCTTTCCGTCATTGAACATACCAGGCAGCCAAATCGTAACCAAGTATATCTGAATGGCAGATATTGGGAGTCAACTGAATGTACTGTTAAGTGGACATGAGATTAGGAGATTGAGGGCCCTCCCTGGTGGCACAACAGGTTAGGACACAGCACTGCAAGCTAGCTGCAGCCACTTCATTGCGAGTTTGATCCCCATACTGGGAGGTGACCCACATGCCTGGCAGACCTCTCCTGTCTCACCCACTGCTCCCCTCAGCAGTGCACTTCATTGATCTGCCTGTTCTGCTCCCCACTCTGTCTCTGGTGATGCCTTTCACCACCCCTGCTCCTCTGGCTTGTACTCCAGGTCTGTATGAATAAGTAAATAAATCTTTAAAAAAATAAAAAAACAATAGGGGATTGGTTAAGTCAATGAATGTCTTTTAAGATCATTCTAAAATCACCTGTTGTATGTGCACAACTCTCACCCTATACACAAAGCTCACTGCTGCGACCACAGATAACACTGCCTCCCCGTGGGGCCCGGCAAGGCAAGGCCGCTGGCAGAGGCTGTCAACCCCGGCCATGCGCTAGCAGCCTTTCCCCTGTCTCCTCTGGCTGGCTTTCCGTGATTGAGTAATCCCATCGTTGGAGGGGGAACACTTCCTTTAGACCGGTTCAGTCCACTCATTATTGGCCTAGAAGCCAGCTTTCTTTCAGTTGACTTTTTTTCCAAGGATATTTAAAAAACAGAGAAAAATACAGAGAATAATGCACACACACTGGCAACCACTCAGATAGAAACCTTAACAGCCTGTTGCTTCATATCTTTTCCTTTCGAAGAAGTAAAATATTACAGACAGAATAGAGACCCCCATCCTTACCCTCCCCCCTCTCCCCAGAAATAGTCACATTTAAAGTTGATCTGTACCCTAGGTAGTGTTTCAGTCCTCTCTACCTTTTTGTTCTTAATAATTTGCTATTTCCATCTTCCCTATAGTTTCTAAGAACTAACATTAAGAAACTACTAATACCTCTTTTCCAGGGGATGGGTACATGCCAACATGGAATTAAAAACCAAACACAGTTGTTTTCCAGACATTTCTAACCCTCCCTGACCCACTGTCCCATTACACAGAAGTTGAGTATGTGTGAGGGTTTATCCGGCATGTCCCCCCACAGCCCACCTATCCACACATACATGGACTGAGGCCTTTCTGCTCCTTGCTGCAGGTATCCGCTCTGTCCAGTGCAGGGGGTGTGGAGAACCTCATCCTCCTGGAGCAAGAGAAGCACCGACCTCATGAGGTGGGCTCCGTGCAGTGGGCAGGGAGCACCTTTGGACCCATGCAGAAGAGCCGACTGGGAGAGCATGAGTTTGAGGCCCTCATGAGGATGCTGGACAACCTGGTGAGTCTCCCACCATTGCCCTTCCAGGCCAGGCCATCGAGGCTCAGCCCCGAGGGCAGTCAGTACCAGGCATGAGGTGGCATGAGAACTATCAGCATGGAGGTTCAGTTGTTAAAGTCTCATTAACTGGCAATGTGATTTAGATGTGTGTTCATTCTAATAGAAAGTTTTCTTAAACAATGACTTTTTTCCCTGCGACTTTTAAAAATTATATATATTTTTTATTGTGATAACATGGGTTTACAATATCATATATGACTCAGACGTGTAGGGTCACACCTTCTCAGATGTCTGTCACCACTCCACTCCCATGTACCCATAATCCTCCACCAGTGTCTGTTGGACCCTTTCTATCCCCTTGTAAAGGCTCAGATGTCATGGCACCAATAAAATGTTCATTGGAAAAGGGGTAGGGAGACAGTAGTTGGCATGAGAAATAGTAACCCATCAAAAATCAGAACTACAGGGTCTTTCTGCTTAAGTCACTCCTGTTATGTAGTTAGCGCTGTCTTTCTTATCTCATGACTTGACTGTAGAAGACCCGTAGCAGCACATGTTGAACATTGTGACAATATCCCACGTAATCACTGGATGAATTTATCACATGCAGAGATAATTGGCATATCTCTAGGAGTGGCCTTTAGAGGCGACAATATGTTTAAAGACTTTCTTCCTTCTTCTAATGGCTGACAGTGTAGCTGGTGACAGGAGACAATTCAAGAACACGAGAAAGCATATATAATGAGGAGCTAAATGCAGGCAGAGGCTCTAGCATCTTAGATTGCTCAGAGAAGTGAAGACAAAATCACTATCTGCAACATTTGTAATTTTCGATTCATTTTCCCATCCTCACCCCTTTCTGATGTCTAGGTCATTGCATATGTCCTTGCTGCTGGTTCTTCCAAGCCATTCCGCCTCATTACCAGCTGAGCACAAGGGTCACCTGATCGTGAGGAAAAGTACACTTACACCTTGAAAATAAAAGACCCATGGGGTGTGTGTGGGTGCTGGGTAGTCCATGTGTAGAGTAACAAGACCAGTGACTCACACAGAATTCTTCCAAATCGCTCAAGAAACAAAGTTTTTAAGAAACAGGCAATTCTTGTGCTATTTAAACTGTTTCAGAAAAGACTGAGAGAAAAACAGACTATAACAATTATAACACATTCAGATCAGCTACTTTGAGTTGAGGAAAAATGCCACAAGAAAACCTTCCCCCCTCCCCTCATGAATACCTCATAAAAATGACGAGATTTGCTGCAAGGCTTGTCTTTGACCCTTCATCTAAACCGAGCCCTTGACATGGAAGGGAGCAGAGCGTGTGTATGGCTGGGTGAGTGTGCAGACCATTCCCCCACGATAAGTGCTTCTATTTTTGTCTGTTTTAGGGCTACAGAACAGGTTACACATATCGCTACCCCTTTGTTCAAGAGAAAACGAAACACAAAAGTGAGGTGGAGATTCCCGCCACCGTCACAGCCTTCGTGTTTGAGGAGGACGGCGCGCCTGTGCCCACGCTGCGGCAGCACGCCCAGAAACAGCAGAAGGAGAAGACCCGCTGGCTGAACACTCCCAACACCTACCTGCGGGTCAACGTGACTGACGAGGTCCAGCGGAGCATGGGCAGCCCCCGGCCCAAGACCACAGTAAGGCGGGCAGCCGGCAGTGGGGAGAGGGAAAGGGAGACTCCTGGAGGGGGGGAGGGGTGCCCAGGGTGGAGGGAGGGTACCCGGCTACACATATGAGGAGGCAGCTTTAAAAGGTTAGCACAAATCTCCGCTGGGCCCCAGCTGGTCATTTCCCCTCAGGAGTTGCTCTTGGGCGTCTGGGATCAGCTGCGCATCAGTTTCTTGCTCTGATGCGCTGAGTTTTAGGGTCTGAAGAGCTGGTTTCTCCAGAAGGTGACTGAACCAGGTCTCTCCCAGCAACATGAAAACTAGTAGCAATTGGTTATTGGTTTTGTTTTTTTTTTCTTGCTTCTTTGGCTGGCTGTTGAGAAGTTCAGGAAATAGGTGTCTAATATTTGCACTGAAGATCTGAGGGCAACTCGAAGGTGGGTGGGCTCTTCATTTCTGAGAAGATGTCCATCTTACACACACACACACACACACACACACACACACACACACCAGCTCTTCATAAAAAAGAAAACAAACAAACAAAAAAAGCCCTGGGAATTAATATTAATGAGTCATCCAATACTGGATTAGATGGCCGCCTGGCTGTCGAAGCTGCTTGCCAAGGTTCTTGGTTCTTATCTGACTGTGCTGTGTTCTTTGGGTTGGGGCTAACTTTGGCACCTGGGACATTTGTTGCCCTTCTCGGTTCCGGGAGACACAGAGGAGGGGCCCAGGAGGAGAGAGAGAACGTGTACATTCAGCAGGCTGACCTTCCATGTAGGCAGGTAGCCGGTCCCTAGGGTGATCCACTGGGGAAAACACGTGGCCTACTCCTTTGCCTCACTCCCTGCCTTGTGTGTTCAGTGGATGAAGGCCGACGAGGTGGAGAAATCCAGCAGCGGCATGCCGATCCGGATCGAAAACCCAAACCAATTTGTGCCTCTCTACACTGACCCTCAAGAAGTGCTGGACATGAGGAACAAGGTGAGGCAGTGCTCGCTCCCTTCGCCCGCCATCCTTTCTCCTTCAAAGCCTAGGGGTGGAGGTGGGGGCTGGGAGGGTCTCAAGTCCAGTAAATATGAGCTGAGTTTCTAGGATGCCTCTGATTTACGAACGTGCCAGATGCCTTCTACGGGAAGGAAGCTTGTACTCTCTGGCCACAGTGCAGGCGCAGGCCCAGTGTGCGTGCCTGGCCCCCCACACCCTCCGTGCTGACCTGTGCCTCTCACGCTCCGTGTGTCAGAGACTTGCCCACATACTGAATGTTCACAAATCTTATGCTGTTTTCCTCTGGGCACAGTATCAAGTTTTCAAAATCCTTTATACTTTATTTCCCAAGCTTTATAATTCTCTACTGCTATTTCTAATATTTAAAAAGACTGCTTTGTGGAGCTTCCATATGACCCAGCAATCCCACTCCTAGGTATCTACCCAAAAGACACAAAACACTGGTTCAAAAAGACATCTGCACCCCCATGTTTATTGCTGCTTTATTTACAATTGGAAAGACATGGAAGCAGCCCAAATGCCCAAAAGTGGATGACTGGATTAAAAAGATGTGGTACATATACACAATGGAATATTACTCAGCAACCAAAAAAAAAAAAAACCATGCCTTGTAGCAACATGGATGGAGCTGGAAAAGATCATGCTTAGTGAGATAAGCCAGAAAGAAAAGGAAAATTACTGGGTGGTTTCACTCATAGCAGGAATATAAAGGACCAGGTGAGAAAATAATAGAACAATGAACAACTATATACCAGAGATATTTTACAGGGGTAGAGTGGGGAATGGGATCAAAAACAGTGGGGGGTGGCCCTCCCAGGTGTGGGGGGAACCTCCCTGGTGGTGCAGTGGGTTAGGATGCAGCACTGCAAGCTAGCCGCAGCAGCTGCAGTACAAGTTCGATCCCTGCCTGCCCCAGAGGTGACCACATGGCGTGGCAGACCTCTCCTGACCCGCCTGCTGCTCCCCTCAGCAGTGTACTTCATCAGTCGACCTGTTCTTCTCCCCACTCTGTCTCTGGTGAAGCCTTTCACTGCCCCTTAACCTCTGGCTTGTACCCCAGTTCTGTATGCACAAATAAATAAATCTTAAAAAAAAAAAACAAAACAGTGGGGGGAGGCTAAGTGCGCTGGACTATGGTGATGGCACACGGGTGATTTGGTGATGGGAAGCCCACGGGGATTACAACTGAGATGGGAAAAGGCACAAAATGATGTAAACATAAACTATTATGTTATTATTTATTTAGTTATTTTTTTTAAAAAAGACTCATTTGTAAGACACGACCTCCGGTGGTCGCTCACAGAACAGTGGTTCCATGTGTGGTCCAGAGACGCTCTTTGGGCTTGTTTAAAATGCACGTTCCCAGCTTACTCCCTTTCTCCCAAGAAGCTCAGATTCAGTAGGTGAGGGGGTGGCTCCATTTTAAATAAGCTTTTCAGGGATTTCTTAGGGATATTGACATCTAAGATCCCCCTTAGGGATCCACTCTGCCTCATTTCTCTGCTCGCCTCTTAATGGGGACTTCAGAGCAAACAAGAACCTGGTATTTTTCATAAACCAATTCCCTTTGATCAGATACAGAGATTCTTTGTGAGTGACTGGGACATTGGAAACAGAGGAGAACGCTGCTATTGCAGCTAGAGGACCTTTGAGGACCCAAGTCACAGAGCACACGGAACACCAGTATGTGCTGGGAGTGTCCACTCCCAATTCCACACCCTCATGCAGACCCTCTCGCTCACAGCCCTCCCCTTTCCATGCAGATTCGAGAGCAAAACCGACAAGACGTGAAGTCAGCGGGGCCTCAGTCCCAGCTCCTGGCGAGTGTCATCGCTGAGAAGAGCCGAAGCCCGGTACAGCAGAAGCTGCCCCTGTCTGGAGGGGAACCGTGTTTGCCTTCTGGGTCTTCAGTGCCCAGGGCTGGGCAGCAGGACCCCTGAGTCCTCATGCCCACTGTCCCCTGTGACCTTGGGCACTGGTGCTCTTGCTGCCAAGCGGATGCTTTGAGGAATAGAGACAGTGTCTCATGCCCCCTGTGGGTACTGGGCCCGCTTCTACACCCAGCCTGCCCACGGGGTGATGCTGACGCCCACCCTTCCCCATGAGTGCTACTCTGCTCTCTCTTAGTATCCTGCAAAGTGGGGGTCCCAGGAACATGGCTGGCAGGCCCCAGCTATTCCAGGCCTGCCTACCCTGAGTGTTTCTGGCCTCTGCATGTGAGGTGCCATTTTTAAGCCTTAGCTCTAGGAAGATGCTTATATGCACACCTAGGGGAGGCCTGTACTTGGGGACTCAAGCTCCTGTACGATGGGAAGGGCAGTTAATTACCTTAGAGTTAGAAAGTATAGCCATTGTTTCAATGCTTGAGATAGAATAGTGTTTGTCTAGTGCTTAGCAGATAGGTGAAGATTAGCGTTCTGGCTTATGTTGGGAATCAGTGCCACTCATCGCAAAACAGCACAGCCTTCTCCTGGCCAGTAAGAAGGGGGAACACAAGAACTGGGCCTCTGCAGAGCAAATGGAGATGCTGCCATGACTCGACTTGGCTGCAGCACAAATGGGTGTCTGTTGCCAGAAGTGTGCAGGTCATGTCTGCACCCCCTCGACCCCCCTCACCTGAAATGAGCACCATCAGAGTTGAGTTTCTCAGGGTGAAGGGCAGAAATACCCAGGGGAGTTACCCTGGGGGAGGTAAGAGTTCAGTACAAAGAGCAAAATCATTTTTAACTCCGCCACTTACAGCCTGGCTCCCCTGGAGGTCCCCTACCTGGGATCCTGGTCTTGGACTCTCTTAAATTTCATGATTCCTTCAGAGAGGTCCAGTGAGTACTCTTCTGCAGAGTCCATGGGCCATCACAGAGGTGCTGTCAGGCCAGGGACTGCAGCCCAGCCCCTCCAGGCCTTCCCCATCTTCCCTCTGGCTCCTCCTCATCTTCAGGGTACTGCATTCTCCGAGACCATGGTGGGCTATGGGTCTGAATTTTAGTCCCTGTCTTGGGCTAGCAGAGTCAGAAGAATCCCAGAGCTTACAACCCAAGGTCCAGCTGCTGACTCCTCAGAGCAGCAGCCTCCACAGATGTGATCAAACTGCGATTTTGCCAGTGACCCCCATTAGGGACTGCAGTACAGGCTGGTTGAAGATCTGAGATTCAGGACCTGTCCCCCTTGCCATTTATGAACTATATGCAAAACAGAACTAAGAGTCTGGACTGAGAAGCTGAAGCCTCTGTGTGTTTTGCATACGACTTTCCGCCCTGTGCCGTGGCTTGTGCTGCTGTTGGGGATGGGAGGGGCTTGGCGGGGAATGCGAGCATGAAGCTGGCTGGAGCCCACGCTTTGCTTGCTGGGGTTTGGCTGATTGACTTTGGGTCTCTGACTGTATTTTCATAGTGATGGCTTGGATGCATCCACAGGAGGGGTTGCAATAAAGGTGTGTCTTCCTTCTGCTTGGGAGCATCTTTCGATTTCATTTCCAGAGCAGAGGGTGGACCCCTGCATTCATCCAGGCAGTTGCAAAGAATCCTGGTCTGGGGGTGAGGTAGCCTTGGGGTGGAGTGAAAAGTCCTGCCGCGAGGCTCTGAGCTGTTTCCAAGGAGCTGCATGCCATGCTGTCCCTAGTGTGACCACTGGCAGCCACACGAGTCTGAAAGGAAGTTCAGGCCTGGGCTGAGCCCCGGGCTTCGAGAGCAACACACACTCTGTGGTTAACTTTCAGTCTACAGAGAGCCAGCTGATGTCCAAGGGCGATGCGGATACCAAAGACGACTCAGAGGAGACGGTGCCCAACCCCTTCAGCCAACTCACTGACCAGGAACTGGAGGAGTACAAGAAAGAGGTGGAGAGGAAGAAGCTGGAACTCGAAGGTAAATAACACCAGGGCCTCGGAGCAACCAGCAACTCCTGGAATCCCAGCAGGGTCCTGGGGCTCAGTCTAACCTCACCTTGCTTTCATTTTTAATCACATGCTTCTCTCTCTCTCTCTTGTCTCTGTTGCATCCTCAGTTTGACCTTCCTGCCCAGCACCAACCATATTCATATTAGCAAAACGCCACTGATCTCAATAATGCCCGTTATCATTCAGCCCCTAGCAGTCACATGGTGTCTTCACGACCTCATCTACCCCCCGCCCCTGGTGATAAAACAGTTAATCCTGGCAGAGGACTTACAATAGAGTCTGTAAATATGGCTGGGACCAGTCATACCAGATAAATGTCAGCTACGATTATTATAATAGTGGTCATTATTATTAATAATCACACCTGGTTTAAACCTTGCAGCCTGAACCATTGAAACTCTCCAAAATCTCCATCCTGTTCTTTACCTTCCTCCTTTATTTCAGATTCTTTGGTCAAGCCCATGTCTCCACACTGGCTTCCAAATATCCAAACACATGGCAGTTTGTCTGCCCTGGGCCTCTGTTGTCCCTTCCTGGCATGGTTTCCCTGCTCACCTAGCCTGAGACACAGTTACAGCTCTTTAGACTCCATCTCAAGCCCCTTCTAGCTTGGAAGTCCCCACACTGAGCTGACCCTTCTCTTCACTACAAGAGCACTTGTGGTCAAAGACACAATTCAGCCAGGCTTTCATTCCCTCAGGGCAGGATCTTCTTCTCAGACCCCCCCTCCCCTCCCGGAGTCAACCAGAGTTGGCACAAAGCAGGCACTGGAAAAACTATTACTGGTTTTCTTGGAGTTCTTATGTGTAGAATGAAAAAGTAGATAGGAAAATATGGTGTTTTTTATCCCCAGAAGATGGTGTGGACTAAACATGTGCTTTGGAGAAGTTAAACAATAAAATGTGCTACATGCAAACAAATCATAGGTAGGAATTCTGTAGCCTCACCAACCTTGACAGGGTGGCATACTCCATCAGGAGGTGTACTTAGATGGAGCAAACAGAACAGGACCCACACTTCTCCCATTTACCTCCCCCAGAATGGAGCAGAAATGGAAAGAAAGGTTACTGGAAGCAGCTAACTTCAATCAGGCGAAATGACGACCAAGTAGAAACACAATTCTTTCTCCACATATTCCCTAGCCCCTCACTCCCCCCCACGTTTCTTCTGCTTGAGGTGGTTTTCTGTATTTTCAGGAGAGAAGGAAACTGCACAGGAGCCTGGCTCACCTGTAAAGTCTGCTTCTCCAGCACAGAGTCCAGTGAAGTCAGACACCAAGAGCCCAGTGGTTTCCCCGTCCAAGTCTTTAGAGGGTGAGTGGAGAGGAGCAGGTTCGGGGAAATGGGGAAACAGGAGCATCCTCAGGTTGGAGAAAGGGGTATGCATTTGATGGAAGGCCCCTGCCTTTCAATAGGTATTGCCCTCTACCCCAAGTTTCCAGGAAAACTGAAATAGAGGTTGGCAAATGTAAGCTTTCATTCACAAGCTCTGCCAATACACTAGTTCAGTCTAAGCTTCGTGTAATCAATGATGAATTAGTTGTGACTGACTCACACCTTCTCAACTCTAACTTGAACTAGGGTGGCTGATGGGCTCCGGCCCAGTTCTCAGAGGTAACACACATGGGAATCTTGTTAAAATGCAGATTCTGGTGTAGCAGGTCTAGGGTGAGACCTGAGATTCTCCATTTCCAGCAAGCTCTGGGGTGGGGTTGATTCTCTACCTTGACTACACATTGAAACATTTGGGGAGCTTTAAGAATCCTGATGCCTGCCTGCATCCCCCCCGGGGGCCCTGAGTTAATGTTCTGGGCTTGTGTTCAGGGAGGAGGGCAGCCTGGAGCGTAAGGTCTCTTCAGGTGAATCTAATGTGCCATTGGGTGAGAACTCTTCCCAACTTAACTGCTGATTTTAGAAAATCAGATCATTTCTGTGCCTCAGTCTTCTTGTCTGTCATACGGGCTACGACTCTTCCCCCTTTTAGGGTTCTTATATAAATAAGGGAAGTTGTGGATAAGATCAGACTTTGAAAGAATGAAGGGATGATTTAAATGTAAGATCTAGCTATGATCGTGATTACTATTGGACATCTGGTAGGTAATAATGCAACCTCCGTCCATGCCACCTAGACCCCGTTAGCGTCCTCAATGAGCTTTGGGATCTCTCAGGCATGAACGCTCCCCCTGGGCCCACGCCCTCTCCCCCGGGCCCACAGTGATGTGGGTGAGGGGTGTGCAGCCTGCTGGCCTGAGGCATGTCCTCCTGCCTGGATAGAGAGTGGTCACATGTGTGGATGCTGGTAGATGCGTACCCCCAACCCCCCCACCCCAGTCTCCCTGAGTTAACCCCCCATCAAATTGCTGCCTCGAGTGCAGGTCCTATATTGCCAGAGGAAACGCATCTGCTTGCGGCCAGAGCCCCCAAGTGGATGTCCCCCGACTGTGCTCATTGTGTCTCATCGTGGTGTTGTCAACCTGTCTCCACAATGTCTTCCTTTCTCTTCCCATTTGTGCCTTCATCAAAGGAGTTTCCTCCGAATCTGAATACTTGTCTCTGTAGTAAGTATAGAGAGGCTGTTTACTAACTCCAACATTTGAAATGGGGGAGGGAGGACTTTTTCAAAAGAAATTGATTTCTTGCCTTTTTTTTTTTTTGCTACTCACAACACTGCCTTCGGGAGGTTTCCTGGCTAAATGATTTACGACAGATTCCCGATGTGCTGTGCATGGACCAGGCTTATCTCTAGGATATGCACACATAGGACACACTCATGTGCAAACACACACCCTACTCACATGGGCACAGTACCCAAAGCAACAGCCCACAGCGAGTGGCAGGGCAGTCCTGACACTCCCCACAGTGGAGTGCTCACAGCCCTCGGGACACACCCGCCCCGCTATTCCGGATGTGCGGGCGCCTCCACGGAGCCCTGACCGCTCCGACTCTGGGCCTCAGCCTGCATGCCTTGGGGACCAACTCCTTATAGAGATGCATGTATCCCTGATGCAGAAGGAAAATCTGGGCTCGTGGAGGAGTAGGGCAAGTGGTGGCAATTCCATTTCAGCTCCTGGGAACCCCTTAGATGTATGATGGGTAATCCACCATCTGACATTGTTTCCACTGCAGCAGTATTCTGCTTCTCTCTGCTCCAAATTTGTGCCCCTGGGTCAGAGGGCATGCCATGGGTGAGTTGTAGAAAAGTAAAGGTCTTCTCTGAAGACTGTAACAGAAAGAGCTGGGGAGCATGGGCCTCCTTGGAGCAGACTCTCGTGACGAGGCATGAATTGTGGCTGCTTGGAGTAGCCAGTGTGAGGGGGGCTTCACAGCGGCCAGGATGCCCAGTGGCTTACCCAGAGAGCAGCTAGAGCTGACCTTCCCACAGCATCCTCACTTTCACATCAGCTCACTCACCACGTCAGGGGTGCATTCTCACCACGTGTCGCAATGTCCTCAAATCCTCTTGTGCGTGTCACCTCTATGTCATTCCTCACCTGTCTCCCTGTCTCGTCTTTCACATCCTCGTTCTTCACATGTGGCCATCACTAGTTCTTTGACTAGCTCCCTGCGACTGCCCTGCTGATCCCACCTCTCAGGGACTCCTCAGGGGCATGGCTAAGTTAACAAAAAAAAGACCCTGCGTTTGACATCAGATCAGCTCTGCCACTTACTAAGTTATCTCACACAAGCCACTTAAAACACTGTACAGTGGGAGTCACACCAGTCCCTATAATGCCTTTCCTACTCCCTCCTGCCAGCAGTGTCCACTCATGAGTGGCCGTGAGGTAGTTAGTTCTCTTTACTGGTCTCCTGCACCGTGGGGGCCTTATTGACTGTGTTGCCACATGACTCAACAAAGGTCATGGAGCTGTTTTTTTTCTTTTAAGACCTGTAGCATTCCCTCCTGTGGCCTGGCTCAGTAATGGTGTGGTGCCAGCCTGTTATCATGGAAGAGAAATGGTATGTGGTAGTTACCAGAGCCTGTGCATTTCGTATATAGTTTATAAGCAGTCTGGTTGAACTTGGATTCAGAACTAAGTGAGCAAACACTGTTTCTGGGCCATCCACTGGTCTCTCTCTGGCTGAAGAGAGGGCCTTCTCCAGCATGCTGGCTGTAGCAGCATTATGTGCTGCTTCTGAGATGTTAGCTGGCTAATGGGGCTCCGGCAGCTGGAGAAGAAAGGCAGCCTTGCTCACTGGATCAGGCAGGGAGCAGAACAGACAGATCTATTAAAGTACAATGCTGAGGGGTGCAGGGGGTGGGTCAGAAGAGGTCTGCTGCGCCATGTGGGGCACCTCCCTGGCTGGCGATTGAACTGGTGCTGCAGGGGCTGCGGACAGCCTCACAGTGCTGCGCTTTAACCCTTTGCACCACCAGGGATGGCCCTGTGGCCTCATTTTTGGATGCTGAGAAGAACCTTAAGTGCTTCTCTCCTATACCAAGACAGGGACCAGGGAGGGGCAGAGGCTGCTGTTGAGGCTGGCAGTAGGGTTGCTAGGGACGAGGGACATAGGGCAAAGAGTACATAGGAACTAGGATGCTCACCCCTGCGAGGACAGAGAATAGCACCTGGACACAAAAATGGGAACCCCTCTTATCCACAGCTGTGTTTTTGGAACTGGAGTCCAATTTCCAATCATCCTAGAGGGTCGGGTTCACGAACCATGTCTGAATAGGTCACCTAAAGGAGGGGCCTTCGGTGGGGGTCAGAATTGGAGCTATAGAATCATGGAGTTGCGAGAGTCCAGAGGATGAGAGCGAGGATGGGCACTAGGTTCTGGAGACTGTGGTGGGCACTCAGGGCTGCTGTTGGTTTAGGTATCTGGGTCCCAGTCAGCCTAGAGGTCTTGGGCTAGGACAGAACAGGAAAAAGATGAACTGGGTTCTGGCCTTGGGAGAGACACTGCCCACACTTGCTTCTGTTTGCTCAGGCGCCTGGCCATTCTTGGATTCCACAAGCACTTTTCTGATTGCCTCCTGTGAGCTAATTACAGGGAGACTGGACATAGTCTTGCCCTACTATATTTCAGTTTTGAGGGGGAAGGTAGATTTAAAAAGAAGTTTGTTTGACAGTTACTATGATGGAAGTCTGCATAGTAGGAGAGGAAAGGAATGAGTGATGAAGTCTACCAGGAAGCAGGGGTGAAATCAGGAAAGACAAGGGGAGCGGTAAACTCTCAAGCTGATTCCAGATATGGAGCCAAGTTTGGGGATGTCCAGACAGAGGAAGACAGGCTGGAATGACAGGGAGGGGCCCGGGCTGATGAAGCCAAATAGCAGGTGAATTGAGAAGAGGGAGGGCAAGAGAAGGCTGGTCGCTGCGCTTAAGATACTGCCAGGCCCTCCCTGGTGGCGCAGCGGGTTAAAGCACTGCACTGAGAAACTAAAGCCACTTCCACATGAGTTCGATCCCCGCCTGCCCCGGAGGTGACCACATGGTGTGGCAGACCTCTCCTGACCCGCCCGCTGCTCCTCTCAGCAGTGTGCTTCATTGATCTGCCTGTTCTGCTCCCCACTCTGTCTCTGGTGAATCCTCTCACCGCCCCTGAGCTTCTGGCCTGTATCCCAGTTCTGTATGAATAAATAAGTAAATCTTTAAACAAAAAAAAAAAGATACTGCCAGGCACTGGCCATAGGGACACATGGTCGGGATGACTGAGGCTGCAGGGTCTTGGGTGCTGGAGAACCTGGAAGCTGGATGGTGATCAGGCATGGGATGGACAGTAGGAGGAAGGGAACCAGCAGCCAAACAGTTTGGCACTGAGAGAGACAGCTGCCGAAGTCTCCTGAATTCCAGAAGTTACTGAAGCCTCCCTGTAAGGACTGGCCCAGAGCCTGAAATTAGCCCCTTCTCTCAGTGCCCAGCCTACCCCGCTGTCCCTTCCTCCCTGTAACCACAGCGCCCAGCCTTTACCCCTTCAAGAATATGGCCTTTCCTGAATCCCCTGACTTCATCCACTCCTCCTTGACCGCTAGTCCCCCAGAGCGGAGCACCCGGGCTCTCGTGACACGACCTCTCACACCCACCTGTTCACTCGCTCCCTCAGGGCCAGTCACGAGAACAGTGAACTGGACTCAGGGGTTGAGGCCTGCTGGCGCCTTCACTGTTTTCTTAGTTTTCTGTAAGCCAAAGGAGATGAACTTGACCTGCTTTTTACAGGTCAAAGTCTGTTTTCATTATTTTCTGCCTTCCTCTGCATCTAGACACCACAAAGCTCAAGTGGAAGCAGGGCTTGGTGAGAGTGGGGCGAGGAGAAGGCCCTGGGGTGTTGTCGCAGGGCCCAGCAGCTCCGACCTGACCATGTGATGGTCCTACCAGGTTCCCTTGGGCGCAGCCAGGCCTGGGCCCTGGAGGCTGCTAGGGGGCTTATTCCCCCTTTGTTAATCCATACATCTGGCAAACATGAGGCCCACCCCCCAGAGATTCTTCCCTCTCTGCCTCCTGAGAAAATATTCTCCACACTTCTGAAATTTCCTCATTGGTGTAAGAAATGAAGTAGGCTTGAAAGCATGTAATTGCCACAGCTTTACTGGTGAAGCTGAACCGCTTTAGATGGCTCCTCTGAGTGATCTCACATGTCCCTGTGTCCCTATCCTATAGCCTGTCTCCTCACTGTGCCGGTTCTCTCATTCTGCCCTAGAAAATCTCTGGATCAGGCCCTTCCCTGGCCCCTGCCTAGTCTGGGCATCGTTGCCTGTTTACACTTGCATCAAGAGCCAGGAGCTCCTGCTCTGCCCGGGGCTCATGCCCCAGGCGAGGCCAAGTAGAAGGGGGTGCAGGAATTGGACACACGCCCACTCTGCCACCTCCACCGCAGTCTGCCCGTCCTTTGCTCTTGACGTACTCTCTAAAGTGGCCTACAGTGGCTCCATGCAGAAGCTCTCACCTGAATGAAGCCTTACGGGTCATATCTCTCCATCTTTTTCTAGAAGGTGCTAAGAAGACAGAAACAAGCAACGCCACCACAGAGCCCGACACAACACAGCCCGAAGGGGTGGTGGTCAACGGGAGGGAGGAGGAGCAGACCGCAGAGGAGATTCTCAGCAAGGCCTTGAGCCAGATGAGCACCAACGCCGACCCAGATGTCGATACCACCAAGGACAAAACTGAGTCAGTCACCAGCGGCCCCATGTCCCCAGAGGGCTCACCTTCCAAGTCTCCCTCAAAGAAGAAAAAGAAATTCCGAACCCCATCCTTCCTGAAAAAGAGCAAAAAGAAGGAGAAAGTGGAATCCTGATTCGTGGCACCCTCAGGCACCCACCTGCACCCTCTCCCCTCCCCCTCCCCTTCTCCCATCTCTGTCCCTGGAAGCACAGGGCCAAGGAGGGGTAGAATAGGACCCTGGATCACACTCTGAGGGGGAACTTAGAGCTTTCCCACCCAACCCCTCATTTTACAATCATCCCAGAGAAATCAGGTGACTCTACAAGGTTACACAGCGGGTTAGTGGCAGAATTAGTGCTGGAGTTAGGTCCCCTGGTCCCTGGAGTCCAGTGCTCTTCCACTACACCACACTGCCTAGTTGTGGGCCACCTCTGAGGGCCGCTGCCCACTGAACTGAGCCCGGAGCAAGACCAGAGTGGGCCAAGCTCTCCCAGGCTCAGAGAAATCAGGCTTCCCCTCAGGAAAGTCCTTTTCCTCATGGGAATCCAGTCTCCTACTGATGGAGCTGCCACACATTTAGGAATCTCTGTTCTCTTTGCCATGGGGCCCCTGCCCTGCGGCTCACAGTAACAGGACAAATTGACCCGTCTCCTCCCACAGAAGTTAATCTTTGTCCCCAAGGGCTGATGGCTTAGCTTGTGCTTCCCCAACCACTAACCCCGAGCAATCTTCATGGAACCTCCTGAGTGATGGATGGAAGAATGGTCAGTGTTCAGACATAGGGCAAGCCAGCAGCCATAGGATGGGGGTTGTTTCAGCTACACGAGAAACCAGGAAGTTGACCCATTGGAAGCAAGCATCTCAGGCGCTTCAATACTAAAACCAAATTTAGCTTCAGAAAAAGTTGTCTCATGCTCAGGACAGAAATTTAAGGAAATTTTGAGCCTCAGTTGGCTTTAGATTGTACAAGGAGGATCAAAACAGAACACGAAAAGCTACGTCTTTATAGCTTTGCATGACACAGAGCAATGCAGATCAACTTGCCTCATTCCTGCTCAGTAGTCAGGTGGCCCCTGACCTTCCCTCAAACCCAGAAACACTGGCTTGTAGGCTGGAACTGGCACACTACCCCTTAGGATGCCTTAGCGCCTAGACCCTTGGCCCTCGGGCTCCAACACAGTCACTCTGGAGCCCTTTGGGACTAGTCCTCTTGGACCAGCTATCAGAGGAATGCTTGGGCATCCCAGGTCCTGTCACTGTCTATCCTGGGGCCTGGCAATTACGCAGCCAGTGTGTTAAAATCAGCACTCTTTTCATATTCTTCCATGGAGCATTGGTTAATCAGCATCATTGGCTTGTGGAAATTAGACAATCCATTCTCTTTAAAGCACAGTGTCTTCAAAGAGTATTTTCCTTTTTTGTCCTGATTATTGTAAAACTATTTTTGAAAGTTCTTAATCATAGTTTTCCATTTTTGAGCATTTATTGTATATATATATATAGAGAGAGAGAGAGAGAGAGAAAGAGAGACAATGCAGGTTTTACATACATTGTATCCTCCAACTCTTTTGTTAATCCTGTGATGTGGATTAAGATTAGCCCCACTTTTTGGGTAAGGAAATTGAAGTTTAAAAGGAAAACTGGCTTGTTCCAGGTGACTTGGCTGGAAAGATCCAGAGCCTGCTTTTGAACCCAGGTCAGCCTGAGTTCAGAACCTTCACCCTTAACAGCTCTGGTGATCAGAAAACCAGAAAACTTTAATCCCCAAGGGTAAGTGGTTTTGATCCAGGGCCTATTTCTGTAACTGGTCTCCCCTGCATAATGTCAGCACTAGAGATGAAGCTAGGACGTCACTAGTGCAGGTTGAATTATGTGCCAATATGGACTGTGGTGAGGTCAGTGTGGACCTCTGACAAAGGAGAGGCAAGAACCTTCTAGTTCTGGGAGGAAATACACCCATAGCTGGACTATTTCTTGGGAAATAAGGAAACTGACATTGACCAAGGAAAACCTAATACTAATGCCTAATAGGAATGCAGGTTTCTAACTACCACCCCAGGCCCTGTTCCACTTTCTGATTAGATCAAGCCTTACAATGGACAGTCTAGTGGTCAGGGACACTGGTAACTCAGACAAGTCTGTGATATGGAAATGTCTTTAAAAGCCAATCCTTTGATACCTTTTGAAAAACAGATGTCCCATCCATTCATCTCTTTACAGTGTCAGGCATTTTACTGACCCTAAAAGAAAAAAATCATCGGCAAGCAATGTTAAGTCGAGGCTGGAGTGCACACAACCACCAATGCAGCTCTTTGTGTTTGTTTGAGTGGTTCTAGCTCAGAGGCGATGCTGATTGATCCTGCCTTCAACAAGCTCCTCTACAGCAGTGAGGCCCAGTTTAGGTGGACGGGCAGAGCTTTGCTGAGGCCTCATCCTTGGAATTTCTGCCATGGGTCCTTACTTTTATCCATTTGTTCCTTCCTCATACATTCAAAAACTGCATGAGCTTAGGTCAAGGGCCAGACCTGAGGCAACAGAGCCCATGCCCACAGGAAGGTCATAAGCGTCAGAGGCATTCTGTCAAGTCACAGCACAGACAAGGGCATAGAAAAGGCACAGGAGAGCAATGATGTATTGTGGTTGGGCCTGAGAAAACTTCCTGCAAGGAGTGATGGCTGAAATATATATTTATTTTAAGATTTATTTATTTATGCATATAGAACTGGGGTACAGGTCAGAAGTGCACGGGCAGTGAGAGGCTTCACCAGAAACAGAGCAGTGAGCAGAACAGGTCGACTGATGAAGTACACTGCTGAGGGAAGCAGTGGTGGGCCAGGAGAGGTCTGCCACGCCATGTGGGTCACCTCGGGGGCCGGGGATCGAACTCATGCTGAAGTGGCTTCAGCTTTTTAGTGCTGCGCTTTAACCCACGGCGCCACCAAGGAAGGTCTGAATTACATTTTCCAACACAAAGAGGAGTTTTCTAGGAGGACTAAAAGGTTGGCAGAACATTCGTGATGAGGGAGAACACTTGCAAAGCCTGGAAGGCTGAAACTGATGGGCACTGAGAGAGCCAGCACTGCCAGGGCACGTTGGAAGGTGGCGTGCTGGGTTCACAGGTGGAGGCGGCTGGGTTGTAAAGCTGCCTGCAGGAAGTGGGGAGGAGTGAGATTTTAACACGTAAGAGGCTTGGAGTCACTGAGGGTTTTGGATGTTGTGGAGTCATGATGGTCTGGAGAAGGGGTGCTGGGGACACAGGCAGATTCTTCTTTTTTTAAAAGATTATTTATGCATGCAGCACGGGGGTACAGGCCAGAGGTGAGGGGTGGTGAAAGGATTCACCAGAGACAGAGTGGGGAGCAGAACAGACAGATGAACAAAGTACACTGCTGAGGGGAGCAGCGGGCGGGTCAGGAGAGGTCTGCCTGCCATGTGGGTCACCTCTGGGGATGAAACTCACACTGAGCGGCTGCAGTCAGCTTGCAGTGCTGCATCCTAACCCGCTGCACCACCAGGGAGGACCCACAGGCAACTTCTTAACGAATCCTTTCTGAGACTTCACTTCTAAAACATGTCTTGTGACCTGTCTTACACTACATTTTTCTTTACAGCAAATAGTAAGCTTCTGGCAGAGATGGTTCATTTTCACAAAATTCTTTGGATAAATCATTCTAAGAGAAATGTTCAACAGGAGCAGGGAAATGTAAAAAACAACAAAACAGAAACCCTAATGTTTAATACAGTTTCTGGTTCTATTTTGTCTTGTGGCAGAATTGCTGTGAGAGCTCGAGACCTTCTGTCGATTTCTTCTTCCTTCTTTCATGTAGAATGTGGCATGCTTGACATAGGGTCCAGACAACCACAGGTGTGTAGGGTGAGAGGAGGGAGCTTCTCTTTGACTCTTAAATGTTGACTAAAAATTTTGACCGGTATCTGTTGGGTGATGAGTGAGAAAATACATATGTGAAGAGCTCAAGATTGGGAGGTAATAGATTTGCTTCTAGTAAAACTGCTATGTTTGTATATGAAAGGCTGCAAAGAAGGTAGTGGAAGTTTGAACCAATCTACTGTGCTGTGACAGCAAAGCTGGGAGGTAGAGGTGGTTTCTCAGGCTGTTTCCATGAGAAGGCTGCATAGGGCAGTTCACATGGGAGAGGAGACTTCCGGGAGACAAACGTGGTTGTGATTCTGTGATTCTGGGCACTGGCGCCCTTCAGAGGTGTGGGAGGGCCATCCAGGCCACATCGCCTCTTTACAAAAAGTACACAAGAGATAACCCATAGTCCAGATTTGGGCTCCAGAAGAGCCACCTGGCCAGCAGACAACCCAAATAGCCCTCTGACTTCAGCCAGCTTATACAGATAAAAATAGCCTCCCTCAACTCCCCTAGAATGGAAATGGGGTGAAGGGAGCTCTTTCCTCTGCAGATGCACACATGTTCTTTATGAAGGACTTGGGGGTGAGTTGGGATGAGGAGTCTGGCCCAGTGAGACCCCCTGGAAGGCAAAGCCCTGCTGCCACTGATTTCCGTCTCCTGAGCCTTGAGTCCTGTTCCGTGTCTAATGGCATGTCACTCCCTCTTGTATGTGGCGAGGTGGGTGTTCAGATGTGGTTGGCCTGCCCTCGTCAACATGGGAGAAATGTCATGAAGCTTCTGCTCTGGTTGTCAGGAACTTGAAAGTCCAGTCATCCAACAGCGTGATTCTCTTCTGATGGGTTAAAAATAGATTTGGCTTTTCCTGTACAGGTCTGCAGGGGCTAGACAGACGCAGCCTCCTCCAGCCTGCATGTGCTTTTACACAAGCGTGATCTGGCTCCAGACCAAGAGTCTCAAGCACGTGAACACATGAGAAAACAGCAGACTCCTCTGGTGGGGCAGAGGGAGCCGGGGGTTTGGTTGGCAGAGGAAACAGACTTTACCTCCTCTCTCACTCGTGAGCCCAAGCGAGCTCTAAGACAGTAAGAGCTGAAGAGTGAGAAGAAAAGAGAAGATAAATCTGCTTGCCTCGCGCCCAGAAATCCCTGCAGTTCAAACCTGATAGGACATCGTGGCACTCTGCTCTGCAGCTCTCCCCAAAAGGGAGGTTTAATAGGAAAAGTCAGAGGCCTGAGTGGTTTTGAGCGAAATGAGCTCACCTGGCATTTGTCTGAACTCAGTGCCACTTGCAGAGCTGTAGAATGGTGATTCTCAAAGGCCAGCGTCACCAGCCTGTCCACCCGGAGGTGGCACACAGGTAGAGCCCTGTCACTCAGTCACATCCAGCCCTCTTTAGTGAGAAAGCTCCTTCTCTTTTTGAGAGCTATTAGAAAAGTACCTCCAGTTGGGGGTTTTCTTAAAAATACAGAAGTAATGGTTTGCACTGGTTTATGCTTAGGCGTTACTAGGTTTTGCCAAATGGTTTGGGGCCCAAGATGGGCTACTGCTTCGAGAAACTAGGGCCTGACGATGGAGAGAGGGTCACTGTCACTGACACAGGGAGGGATGTGGGCGTGACCGGAGTCAGAGCCTCTGATGGGAGAGCGCGGTGGCTTCTGGTCCATGATTCCAGCACTTGCCTCCTGCTTCCCACACCACAGGATGAGGCTGGCTGTGAGTGGTAACTCTGAGGGCCTAATGGTGTGAAGAAAATGCTTCAAAGGTTTAGAGATGGTGGGAGGATTAGAGTAGAAGAACCCTAACTAAACTCCCTTCCCTCCTGTAAGTCATGCTTTAGGAGTGAGAAGTTCAAAGGTCAGATCTTCCCTTGTAAAGTGAATCCGAAGGAGTGTTACAGGGTAGCCCAGAGTGGACTGGGCCGCCTATATGTGGGGCTTCACCTGCGCACTCACAACTCAGTTATACTGTAGGTACAAACAAGAGGGTCAATAACGAGTTTATTTACAAAAGGGGAAAGGAATAGGAAACAACACAGGGAAAAAGAGCGAGATACAAAGTAAGTGAAATACCTTACGCCTAGGCTGACTGAACACACTGAGTCACGCGGTCAGGAGAGCTGTTTCCCCAGCGAGAGCGAGAGAGAGCGAGTGAGATGCAATCGCACCCTATTTATCCCCCAAATGTCCCAGAATTCCTGCTAGCTCCGCCCTTGGGTCCTTGCAGTTCTCTCCCTGTTACTGCTGGGAGCTGTAGTTTCCAATCACTGGAGTAGGGGGTAGGGTCCAGAAAGCTGGAGAAGGGGGTGGAGTCCACAAGACTGCAGAGTTCCTTTAGGACATCCTTCCCCTTAACAGAAGGACAGTGGAACAAGGACAGAAGGGTCACATTTACATCAAAGCCCTCAAAAAAGGAGAATACATTTCAGGGGCCCCAACCCTGTTTTCCAAGTCTACTTCAAGAATATTGGGGCTGTCCGTGGGTGATTGCTCGATCTCTGTGATCTGCTCCACCTTTAAATGCATGTCATCTAGCCGTCAGCACTGCGTCCTGTGTTTGTCCTCTCAGGAAGAGGCGGGGTGGGGAGAATGGGCTCAGGGCCTGTGCTGCCTTGGCCGGAGAGGGTGTCTAGGTGGAGAGTGTGGTGTTCTCTAAAGCTGTGGATGGTTCAGTGAAATGTCTGTCTGACAATCGTCTTCCTGTGTACATACATGATCTGTGTTTGGGTTTTCCTGGTATTGTGACATTTCCAGTAGGGGTTCCATGTAAATACTCTTTCTGCTACTGAAACGCCAGTCCCCCAGATCCTGCAGCGTCCCCACAAATGGTTTTGCCTTTCTCTACGCTAACACTTTTTGAGCCACTGAAGTGCAGATTGATGATTAGTTTCTTGAGCTTTTATTTTGCAATTTTATATATATGCACACATATAATATATATATATATATATATTTATGGGTTGGTTTTGTATAGTTTTCTGTTTGAATCTCTGAGCACCAAAGCTGCCCTTTGATTTTCAAGAGAACTTTCCAAAGCCGCTTCCAGAGCGTCCTCCTCCCCACTGCTTTTTTGGTGTTTGTGGTGCTGGGTGGCATCTCTGCCCGTGGGTTTCTGTATGTACGTGCTGTTACCTCACCTGCAGATATTACCCTAGTAAACCTACCGTGCTTGGCTTCCTAGTGTGTGACCATCTCTGTGAGCCTCCCAGTCCTCCCAGCTCCTGGGGAGCAGGAGTCAGAGAGGGGTCCTCCTATGGAACATCGACCACACAAGAAACACTTATCCTTGAAATCGCTCCCCACACATGGGAAGTTGAACATGACTATGAATAATTGAGTTCTGAGGTGGGGGGGAGGTAATAAAATGCTGTTATTCTCTGAGAGGGATGGGCCATCTGGATTTGCAAAAGCTCTGTGGAGAGAGATGGATTTAGATGGGCTGGTCAGAGAGCAGGTGGTGAAGGCAAATATGGATGGGAAGTGGGGAGCAGATCTGGGGTTGGAGCAGAAAGGGGGGTCAGACCAGAATTAGAGGGGTGGGAGAGTTAAGAGATCACCCGAAAGGGTGAAAGGGGAATGGAGAGGCTGGGTGGGGGTTTAAAGAAGAGGGAAAAGTCCATTTTTCTCCCTCCCAGCTCTTCTTTACTCAATTAAGGAGCCCAAGAGTCTCAGAGCACCCCACATGTGGCTCAAGTGTTGTTATGTGTCTGCTGTACTTTGTTTCACTCCTGTAAGAACCCAGAGGGTGGTCCTATTGTGACCACCCACATTAGGGATAAGGGAAAAGGCTCTGAACTAAGGAGTTGTGTGTGGGCCATTATGTGATGAAGCTCTAATTCAAACCAGGGTCTCTAGGTAACCAATTTCCACTACTTCCC